CTGGGATCTTGACTGGCACACTCAGTAGTCCATTAATCTCTCAAACATTTACTGAGGAACTACTGTATGCTAAGGAGGAATAAAATGGTACATTGGAGTTAATGCTCCTTGAGGGGCAGTCTAGGGAGGGGAGACAGCCACAGAAACACATCACTGTATTACTTCTTGGTAAGTGATACAGGGAGGCACGGGATGGGGAGGTTCACTCGGGTATAAAATAGGACCATGAGCTACCTCAGGAAAGGTTTCTTGGTAGAAGTGAGTTTTTAAAGTTCAGCAAATTTAGAGGCAAAGATGTAGATAGGGAGAAGACCGGAGCTGTGAGAGATGCTTACAGCCAAGAATATTCCAGGACAGTCAGGTAGGCAGGGCCAGATGATCAAAAGCTTTGCAGGAGAAGGAGAGATCCTTCTCTTCCATTTTCTTACTTTCTTTTCCCACCAGGGGAAAAATAATGACTGATCCCTCTTTTTTCTTTTTCTTTTTCTTTTTTTTTTTTTAATTATTGTGATTAGGGTGAAAGTTTACAGAGAAATTCATTTTACATACAACAGTTCATGCACATTTTGCTTCATGACATTGACTGTAATTCCCCAGTGTAACAGCTGTCTTCCCACTTCCTTCTTGTGGTTACCTCTTGCTTGTGTCCTTCTTCCCTATGCACTCCTGCCCCATGAGCTCTCTCCCTGTACAAACACATCCCTTCTGTTCTCCCATGATTGATTGCTCTAAGGAGTGTATCTACCTGATGTAAATCTTCACCCTATATGCCAGTCCATTGTTTTGCTGGAAGCCAATGGGGTGAGTTCAGTTCCAGACTTGAAGGGTAACTGGGGGCCATAGTCTCAGGGGTCTCACTGGGCTCTATCAGACCAGCAAACCTGGTCTTTTTTGTGTGTGATTTTGAATTTTGTCCCACATTGTTCTACTCTAGCCAGGATTTCCTGCACTGATCCCTTTCCAAGTGGTTGACGGTGGTAGCCAGACACCATCTAGTTCTTCTGGTCTCATGGTCACCTAGGCTGGGGATCGCATGGTCTACTGGTCCCTTGAACTAATTGTTACCATGTGTCTTTGGTTTTCTGCATTCTTTTTCGCTCTGGATGAGAGACCCGTTGTTGCACCTAGATGACAGCTCACAAGCTTTAAAGACCCCAGTCACTACTCACCAAAGGAAGATACAGAGCAATGTTTTTGTATAGTATGTTGTGCCAATTGAGCTTGGTGTCCCCTGCAACCACAGTCCCGAGCCCCCAGGTCCAACTACTCATTCCCTCAGGGTGGTTGCCAGTGGCCAAGAAGTTATCATAACTTTGCCCCTTGTTAGCTCTATTATATATTTGGACATTCTTATAGCACATACAAAAACATATTTAGAAATATTGTCTGCCAACTTTATATACGGTCATGGGTATATTCCCTAGATATACTTAATTATTCAATCTGTCTACTCATCTATTTACGCATAGATTAATGTTATCACTGACAACACAGTATTGTGTATGTAAAAGGATTTATCTTTGTTGTCTGTACCTTTTGTGTACCTCTCTGTGTCTTCCTCGTCCTCACTGCCACTGTGTTGATTACTCACTTTTAGTACGTTGCCCTTCCCTTCAACAAAAGCAGTACTTGTCTCTATCTACCTAGCAATGTTTGCTCCCTTCCCCTCCCATCCCTGGTAACCAACAAAGAAAGTTTCCTTCCATATATAAACCTTTCCTTGACTTTTTACAATGGTGAACTGATACAGTATTTGTCCTGTGATTGACTCACTTCACTCAGCATAATGTCCTCCAAGTTCATGCACATTGTGTGGTGTTTTGCAGATTCTACATTATTCTTTAGGGTTGCATAGTATTCCATTATGTATGGACCATAGTTTGGTTATCCATTCTTCTGTTGATGGCCACTTAGTTTGTTTCCATCTCTTTGCTATTGTGAACAGTGTTGCAATGAACATAGGTATGCATATATCTGTTTATGTCCTGGCTCTCACTTCTTTAGGATATATACTTAGTAGTGGGATTGCTAGATGAAATGGTATTTCTATTTCCAACTTCTTAAGGAATTGCCATACTGATTTCCACAGTGGTTGTATCATTTTACAGTCCCATCAGCAATGCATGAAAGTCCCAATCTCTCCACATCCTCACCAGCATTTGTTATATTCTGTGTTGTTGAACTTTGCTATTAGTGCTGGGGTGAGATGGTATCTCACTGTTGTTTTGATATGCATTTTTCTAGTGGCTAATGAACACAGATATTTCTACATGTGTTTGTTGGCTGCCTGAATATCCTCGTTAGTGAAGGGTCTATTCATGTCTTCTGCCAATTTTTAAAATTGGATTGTTTGTCTTTTTGATGTTGAGGTGCTAGAGTTTTCTAAAAATTTTACAGGTAAGTTCCTTGTGAGCTGTGTCATTGCCGAATATTTTTTCCCAATCTGTAGGTTCTCTTTTGACTCTTTTGGAGAAGTCTTTTGGTGCAGATAAAAATTTAATTTCTAGAAGGTCCCAATCATCTGGCTTATCTTCTGCTGTTTGTGCATTTGGGGTTATGCTTGATTGTCTATTTATGCCACAAGTTAGGGCCCCTAAGCCTGCCCCTATTTTTTCTTTGATGAACTTTATAGTTTTATGTCTCACATTTAAGTCTTTGATCCATCTAGAGTTAGTTTTTGTATATGGTGTGAGGTATGGATCTTGTCTCATTTTTCTGCAAATGGATAACCAGTTTTGTCAGCACCATTTGTTAAAGAGACAATCTCTTGCCCATTTAATGGATTTTAGTCCTTTGTCAGATCTGCTGACCATAGGCTGATGGATCTATTTCTGGGTTCTCAATTCTAATCACTGGTCTATGTGTCTGTCATTGTACCAGTACATGGCTGTTTTGACTACTGTGGCTGTAAAATAGGTTTTGAGATCTGGGAGTGTGAGACCTCCTACTTTGTTCTTCTTCTTCAGTTGTGCTTTGCTTATCCGAGGTCTCTTTCCTTGCCATGTAAAATTAGTGATTGTTTTTTCCATATCCTTAAAGAACATTGATGGGATCTGGATTGGGATTGCATTGAACATATAGATTGCTTTAGGTAGCATTGACATTTTCACAATGTTTGATGTTCCTATCCATGAGCACGGAATGTTGTTCCATTTATGCAGATCTCTTATAGTTTCTTGAAGTAGTGATTTGTAGTTTTCTTTGTACAGGTCTTTTGTGTCACCACCTTGGTAAGACTTATTCCCAAGTACTTTATTTTTTTGGTAGCTAATGTAAATGGTATTTATTTCCTTTTCAGCAATCTCTTTGCTGGTGTAGAGGAATCCAACTGGTTTTTGTTTGTTGATCTTGTATCCTGCCACTATGCTAAAGCTCTCAATTAGTTCCAGTAGTTTTCTTGCTGAGTCTCTTGAGTTTTCTATGTATAGGACCATATCACCTGCAAACGGATAGTTTTACTTCTTCCTTACAAATTTGAATGCCTTTGATTTCCACTTCTTGCCTTATTGCCCTGGCTAGGACTTCCAATACAATGTTGATTAGAAGTGGTGATAGAGGGCATCCTTGTCTGGCTCTCATTTGCAAGGGGAATGGCTTCAGTTGGCTGTTGGTCTTGTATGTTGTTGTTGTTATGTGCCGTGGAGTCAGAGTCGACTCATAGCGACTCCTCCTTGGGTTTCTGAGGTGGTATCACTATGGAAGTAGATTGCCCAACCTTCCTCTGAGGAGTGGCTGGTAGGTTTGAACCACCAGCCTTCTGGTTAGCAGTCAACTGCCTTAGGCACTATGCTACCAGAGCTCCTAAGAGAAAGACAAGGACTCGTCTGGGATTTGAACCTGGGACCTCTTGCACCCTAAGTGAGAATCATACAGCTAGATAGTCACCAGCCACCATGGCAAGCAGGGGAGATTTTTTGGTTATTGCCTAGATCTGAACACCACCAGTATTCTGACCATGCTGTCAGAATAGCCAACAGTCCACAGCTCTGTTTATCTCCTTATTCACTATTTTCATTCAGGTTCTTCTACTAATTGGTATTTAATCCACTTCTGTATCTTTTCTTCCAAAGCTCAGGGCTCCAGGATCATCTTCTGTATCTGTCAATTGGATTCTCTTTTCTTTGTCAAAGAGTGTCTGTGTACATTGTCTGTCTATTCCACCATCTGGTGATTGCCTTTGAGCTACCAGAGAGCGCTAAAAGTGAGCGCCCCCAAGTGGATTCTAGAATGCCAGAATCCACAGTCTCTTTTATTTAAAGTAACAGATATGGATGATACTTTTCATGTCCAACCAAGAAGGAAGAGGACAGAGCGTGACCTTCACTTCATCAAGGTGGGGCTTTGGAATAAATAAAGTTTAGACATACAGACACAGTAACATCCATTTTTATCGTTATATAGGCAAGACCAGGGTCCAGGGGGGTACTTGTTTTTCCTCTTTAAACTGTAAACTGAGTAGTTTCTTTGCTATATAAGGCCAAGTCCACTGCTGCCCCATACCACACTACAGGTTCTGCCTTGGCACATCCTTATCATTGGGGGTCAGGAGGCTTCATTAATCAAATCATACGCACACACACCCCTCTCTTCTCTTAACCGAGTGCGCACCACGGCCCTACTCAGTGTCCCCACAGATAAGGAAGAGACACGGAAACTGTTCTGAGAAAGTGGTAGCTAGGAAATGCTCTGAACAACTAATTGGTTACCGAAGCCCCCCGGTGCCCTGGGATGCCGAGCCGGGTGAGTGGGCCCAGAGCAGTGAGAGCTCTCCGCCGCCAAAACACCCCCAAGGTGGGACCGGTTTCTGAGCAAGGGACCAGGGCCCACCCCCAGGAGGCCCATGCTCTGCGGGCAGGCAAGGAAACAGGCGGGCCCCGCCCCCCAAGAGGATACAATTCCAAGCAGTCGCCGCCCCACTCGGGTCGGCAGGCTCGCACCCAAAGTCTGCCTTCGCCGCCGCCTTGCGGAGTTGTGCGGCTGCCGCAGCACGGGGCATGAGACGCTGATGGCCATGGACGGCTACAGAGGGTTCCTGGCGCTGCTAGTGTCAGCGCTGCTCGTCGGCTTCCTATCGGTGATCTTCACTCTCATCTGGGTCCTCCACTACCGAGAGGGGCTCGGCTGGGACGGGACCGGGCTAGAGTTTAACTGGCACCCGGTGCTCCTGGTCACGGGCTTCGTCTTCATCCAGGGCATAGGTACTGTGCAACTCTTGGGAGACAGGACAGTGTGGGCCGGGGGTCCTGGACCGAGCGGTAACGGAGTCGGGCTGACGTGGGCGAGCAGGGGGTGGGGGCCGGGGAACCGCGTCGGCGGTGGTCGGCGGCGGGGCGGAGGTGGGCGGGCTCTCCGGGGCTGGGGTGTCGGAGGCCGCGTCAGAGAAGGAGTTCGCGTAGACAGGGGCGAGCGCGGGAGCTGCGGCGCTGGCGCAGGGCGCGTGCGGGCCTGGGGATCGCGGCGGGGGTCGGCAGGGCGTGGCGGCCGTGGCACAAGCGGAGCTGGCCCTTCGCGCGCCGGCCCCAGTTGGTTAACTCTTTGCAGCAAGTGGTTGGGACGCTTTTGAGGCGCACTAGCGACCCCAAGAACTTAAACGCAGGAGAGATGACAGTGCTCGGCTCCGCCGGCCCCTCTGGGTCTGCTTGCCCCCTAAAATCGCTCCTTGTGGAGCGATCCTGCGTCATCGAGGGCACAGAATCAATCTTTAAGGGAGGCCTTTCGTTGAAGTTGCTTTCAAGGCTGCAGATTATGAAAGGAGGGCAACAGGGGGAAAATGCTGGGATGACAGTCATTTGCCTCGTCTTGTAACATCCTCAGATCAGCCCTGTGTGGGGGTAAGTCAGCTGATACCCAGGGTGAATGAGGCATCCGCTCCGATTTTCCTTCCTTCAGGAGCGTTACTCTGCTAGGACTCCAACGGGTGTTTCACTGCTCTGCTTGGCCATTGGACAGCCTTGAATCCAGCTTGTTTATGTAGCTGTTGACTGGCGAAGTTCCTCTGCGAGGCTTCCTGTGGGCGCTGCTCTGGTGTTAGTCCTTAAAGCTGAAGATTTCTCCAAGATGCCGAGAGCACTGCCACAAGGCTTCGAGAGGTGCTCCCAGTTCAGGACTGACTTCCCTGGAGTTTGCTGCGTCTGCAACAGGCCCCAGCCCCGCGCCTGCATCCTTTGCCATTAGCGCGGAGGGAGGGTTCCGACGATGGAAGTTTTTGTGGTTGGTGTAGTACTACTACTCAGAATGTGCTAACAATTTCCTTCGGCTGCTGTTTGGCGGGAGGAACTTCCAGGTAGTGGTGCAAGTGCAATTTACTTGTAACCACTTTCCAAAAAGTGAAGTCAAGGCCTTGGCAGAAAAAAGTAATTAGAAAAAAAGTAGAAAGTGGTGGACTGCGTTTATGTCGCAGAAAATAATAGAGATGATGGGAAAGGTTAGGGAAGAGATGTTCACTGCCTAGGACTAGTAGCTTTATCCGTGAGCAGGCTGCCTTTTCTCCACTATCATTTAACTCACCACAAACAAACAAAGCATTTAAAACGTGTGCTGTAGCCTTCCTGTGGTGTGGCCCCCATTCTTGGACTCTGGGACGTAGTGGAAGGTGTTACTAATACTCAGTGGTTGTTCCCAGCTTCCCTGCTACAGGATTGGCATCAGGGAGTGAGTATCGCTGCTCATCCAAGTTATGTTGTTGCATAATTCCCACCAATTTCGCCACTAAACAAAAATGAGAAAAACATGCTCAAGTTCCAAAAGCTGTCACCAGAAGCACACTTCTCTCTTGGTGGAGCCATTAAGTGGGGTCAGAGCTGTCAGCACCTTCTGTTCGCTCAGAGTTGTAGGGAACAGTCTCTTCATCTATTCCAGTCAACTGAACGCATCAGAGCACCTTCTAATACAAGAAACTTTCCACAATATTTTCTCATAATTGAAAGTGAAGGAAATATGTGGGTATTACTTGTTGCCGGACTTAGCAAAGGGGGCAGTCACAATATTATTATAGCTAACAGGTAATGAGTGCTCTCAGTGTGCCCATTCTGTGCATTATCTCACGTGTGCGAAGAGTAAACTGAAGCACACAGAGGTTAAGTCACTTGCTCAAGGAAGTACAATAAGATTTTTCAGTGGCCTCAGTTTCAAGGTGTTTCTCTGATTTTATGGCAATATGCTTATTTTCTGCAAGACATTCTTTTTAGAGAAGCAAAAAGCTTTTTTCTGAAATATACTTTGAAACTCTTCAATCATGTTAAGAGTTCATTATAGTTT